TCGACGACAAATCTTGGATGAACTTGCAATTCCACATATGGAGTGCTCAAGCATCTACTCAACCCAAGGGATTATGCTCGAGCACTCCCTATCTTGCTGCTTTAACATGTTATGATGCTTGTCCTCGAACATATATACTCTCCTCATAACTTGCGATTGTTGACCCTTTAGAATTCCTATGCAATTAGGACTCTAACTCAACCATATACTTGACTCACAAGGATTCTATCCCACACATAATTATGGCATTAGTCCAGTTCCTTCGCCTTATAGGACTTCGTTGGATAGAGATACTCAATTAGTTGAGTCCCACTAGGAGAATATCGCTTACTCTATAAATACAGAACCTTGAGCCATTATTCAGGTACGTTTTCATGATTCTCCAGTCTATAATCTCACGCATATAATTCCCTTTCTGACTTAAGTATAGGAGGGACGACGAGAACATACTTCGTTGCCTTTATTTCAGGTACTGGAAGACTACGATCGTACTCGATCCAAATCATCAAGCTCGGAAAATTTGCAGGTACGATTTTTGGTAGCATCACTATTCAATCATACATTTTATAAAATTTTATCAAAATATGTTAAAACTTTTATAAAAAATCTTTGTCGCGCAGCCCCAATTTGAGTCCAAATAAGAAGTTAGAGATTAGATATATAGAATACAGGACACCTCACATCACTAGTCATGAACAACTTGGGTGATAAGAGCAGTCTAGAGGTTGTCATTCAAAAGAAGACTAACTTCATCCTCCAGGTCAACAAAGATTGGGATCGGACTACCAATGAAGTCCCGCCACTCGTTGATGTGCATACCACTTGCACCGAAACTTTCCTTTCTCATGCTAAGGGTTTGCCAAGCCTAGAAACCTGGACGTTAGAGGTCACCGTCATTTGGCATTTCTTTCACTTCTTGGAACAAGGCTTGAGCATGGGCTTGGGTTGCACGAGCAACTGCCATAACCTTCCTCTTCAGTGATAGTTCTGCATCTCTACATGAAAGAAACAAGAAGCCTTCAGGCCAACCTTCGAAACAATAGATAGACAAAATTTAAGAGAGAGAGACGATCCCATCATAGTCTAACCTTGTGACCCCAAGTACATCATCTTCTAAAAGGTCGTATATGTCAAGGACGAAGCAAATGAGCAAGTATTTGTAACTCTTCATGTAAGGATTGTGCTTAAGCTTGGGCATATTCCCTACAAAGGTCAATGGAAGGCCTAAGAGACTGACAACAACATGTTTAGAAGAAGTACTTCAGCAACCTCTACTCCTTTAGAGCCAATTGGACTTCTTTTTAACAATGTTAACATTAAAAGATGGAACTCTAAGTATTAATATTGATTAGGCCTAAAAAGAATAACTTGGTCCATCTAAAACTCGAACGTGTATTTAGATTTCAAGATAGGTGAGCTTAAAATTATCATCTTGTTGAGATATTTTAAGGATATCCCGTGTTGAAGAAATACAAAAAATGTTAATCAATATATAAGGGTCTAAATTAATCCTTTTAATAAGATTGATCTTTTAAGTTCAAATTTTAATTATTTTAAGTTAACGCATTTTCTTAGTCAGTACTTACTCAAATCGAGGTGTTGTGCACTCTCATTACTTAGATGACTTGCAAGTGTTCTCATGTGCCCTACAATTTTAGTTTCGGGAAAAAGCAAATCAACAAGATATGGGTTCTGTTACACCTCTTGTCGGAGGCTCTTACTAAAGGCCATGTCTATGTCATGTGGAGGTGCTACATACGAATAGTTGGCAGTCAACAAGATCAAAATGAAGAAAAGAACAAGCTGCTCTTTGGTCGAAGTACTGTCCTCGTTTGAAGCACTCTCTCTTGTGATCGAGCCGCAACAAATCCGAAGCTCTCTCTCTCTCAAAGTTGCAGCATTTGCTACCTTTAAAATGGACCTGCAGAGTATTTGTATGATTGATTGATGTAATGTTTGTATTAATTAATGTCAAGAATGTTAGCTTAGAGATGGGGCGGTGGCCCATTGTCAATGTATTTAATGTTAGACAGGATGATGTGATGTTTTGGTTAACGAGATAAGGTCACGTGATTCTGATCCAATGATTACAACGTTAGTTGTAGAGTTATAAATAATAACTCTTGTAACATTTTGAAGGGGGAGAAAAGAAGACACGACTTTTGTGCAAGAATTCTCATGAAAACTACTTTGATTTTCCCATTTTATTTGTTTAGGTTTGAGTCATTTCTACTTTGGTGAGATTGGTTGTGATTATTTGTCCGTTGATAATTATTTTAAACCATATTGTCGGTGCTTGAACATATTCGTCACGTGCAATTGAGCATCTTCCACGTTCATTGTCACCGGAGATCATCCGACTGATTATTCTGATCGAAACATGCTAGAAGTCACTTGCATAAGTATGAGTGAACCCGATATCTGTTATTCATGTTGCCATTGCAAAAAACGTGGTCAACATCTTCAATTCTTGATATTCTTCGGCCTAAATTCCTGGTAGGGGATTGTCACTGGGTTAAGCCCCTATATATTATCGCTAAAAAAATTTATTAACAATTCAAAGTTTTAAAAATTAATTTTAATAATACATTTTATATTACCCACAATTTTTTAATCATATATTATATCAACTTTTATTAAAATTGATTAAAAATTTAATTTTAATCAATACCAAACATGGGCCAAACTTGATATGCTTACGACGTTGGTACGCGGATTGTAAACATTCTTGACCATATAGTTATGGCTTTTATGCACACACTTAAGTGCGATTTTAAACCATGAATCCGTGGTCGATGACCACTCAATTTTGGTACCGTCACGCTCCTCGAAAATAGTATCCACCAAAAAATCAAGCATTAATGTCACAGTTAACGACTAATGACCGATTACAAAAGTCATTATCAATTGGACGTTACAAATTGGAATCCTCCTAAACCAAATTTAACCATTGTTTAATTCTCATTATTTTAAAAATATATTATTCTTTCTTTTATTTTCAATCACATATTTTTTAATAAAATAATATTATAATCAAATTCAAAAAAAATTCATTTTTTTGTTAAACAAACATTTTCATCGATCTACTATTTTAAAATGAAGCTCAAACAGATGTTAAATTAATAAAAGGAAAAAAAAAAAAAAAAAGAGCTCAAATAGACGCTAAATTAACTATGTAGTGACACGTCCTCTGACATAATAGTGACATGGGATCTACGTAACAGCCATTGACGGTGGTTTTTCAACCACTCATTTTTCAAAAAACACTATTCTATACATTAAATTTTCCCCGTAATGGGGGCCAAACAGGGGCATAATCCCACTACCGTAACAGTTTTCAACTCCCTCTTCTTCCTCCCACCCCCACGCCACATGCAACAAGCACTCCCATACATCAATTTGCCTTTCACCACCACCTCTAACGGTGGCGCCACCACTACTGCTGTGGAGGTGCCAAAATTGGTGGCGGAGAATGCAGTGGTGATTTTTGCTAGAAGTGGATGTTGTATGTGCCATGTTGTGAAGCTTCTGCTACACGGGCATGGAGTCAACCCCACTATTTTTGACATTGATGAGCAAAATGAAGCTTCCGTTACCGGAGAACTGTCTAAGATTATTGGTATAGGCGAAGCAAAAGCCGCCGGCAGGCCGCAGTTTCCGGCGGTTTTTGTAGGCGGAAAATTATTTGGAGGGCTAGAAGAAGTCATGGCTGCTCATATTTCCGGTGAATTGGTGCCTATGTTAAGAAAAGCCAGAGCTCTTTGGCTTTGACTGACTTTTTAATTCAAGAAATTCTGATAAAGGGTTTCAATAAATTTTGCTTTATTTTCTTTATGTAACATCTTTTGTTTCAAGATTCGACAGTCAATAGTTTGTAGATAAACTTCTTGGCTTGGTTTTGTACATGTTAAAAAGTTTCATATGATTTCATGTTTTATACCTAAGACAGACCCCCACCCCCCCCCGGGCCCCCGCCCACTCTATATTCTATTCTACATTTTCACCATTGATAAATATGCTTGGATCACTCTAAATCCGATGGTTAATTGCTAATATGTAAAAGTTCTAGGAAGGGTTACAGAATTTTCGTAGAATAATTCACGGGTCCCTCACCGTGCAAGGTCCACACATATATAAAAAAAACAAAAAACAAAAAATTACGTGGGCCACACATGTGTGAGGCCTGCCAGGGACTGTGAAGCCGGGCAGGGTAGATTTTCATATTTCATGAATCCAGATGAGGGTTGAAATTTGATGTTGACATTGAGGAATACGTTGACATTGAGGAATACACTTGGGATAATTTATGAAAAACTTTTATAAGTAAGAGGTTAATTATGGCGCATTTTAAAAATAAGAAAATAAGATTAACGATTTAATTTGTCATTTATTATTTTTTAATCACAAATTAAAAATTTTATGTCACAAATTATTTTACGATCACAATTTAAAAATTTTACAGGTCACAATTTGTTCATTGGTCACGAATCTAAAAATTTATAAATCACAATTTATTTATTGATTACAAATCATAAATATTACAAGTTACAACTTATTATACAGTCACAAATTATCAAACTAACGATCAGGGATTAATAATTTTTTAGTTCACGCATTATTTTTCGGTTACAATTTATATTTTTCATTGGTTACATATTATTTATTGGCCACAAATAAATCAATTTAATAGTTACAGTCAACAAAATAACGTGTGACCACCACCAACACTTATGATTCACAGTCACAATTTTCAGTTCCCGTATCCAATTGTGTGTCACATATCAACCAAATCGTCACGACCACCACAACCACTGCCACGACCAACTGTGACTCCCAAATTGTGAGTTACAATTGGAGTCACAATAACAATTTTTCAGGTCACGGGTCCACTTATTTATCACAAAAGCAACCAAACCACGACAACCACTGCAATCCACCACTTCAAAAATCAATGCAAAACAATATAACACGTCGCCGGTTTGCAACAGTAGTAACCACTATCACCACCAACCCCAACCCCAACGCCACCACCATCAACACCACAGTCAGAAGCACTATCTTTTGTACCAAAAATCACAACCACTATTTCAAATTACACCACAATCACCACGTTTA